CTAGCTCAACTGATCACAGGCTTTTCCCACACTCCTTAAACCCACATGCCCCGCCAGGAGGCAGAGGGACCACCTTTTCCTGGGGAGGGAGGGGAACACAGATTTGTTCATCTAATACTGGCATTCTTTGTTCTACTTCACCATTGGACCCTATTCCCAACCTAGGGGGACCACCTTCCTGAGGGGCTGGGGGGAATTTAGTTTCTCACTTCACCTAATTCTGGCACTCCTGTCTGTACTCCTGCACTGGATTCAGACCCTGACCTGGAAAGGCCACGTTCTCTCCAAACCGGAGTAGAAGTGGTTGTGCGGTTTGTACCTATACACCAGGGGATCCCCATTAGGAAAGGGCCTGAGAAAAATGGATCTAATTTAATCTTTGACTTGACAAACACCAAACCTGAGCCTCTGAATCAGCTCTCCATAGGAATCTGCCCTGGCTGTGGAATGAAACTTCAGTTCTTTTTTGTGCATGAGTTTAGAAACAATGAGGAGACAAAAAGCCTACAAGGAAACAGGGGCTTGTAACTGCAGTGGCAGGAAGCTTACACCATTTGACTGAAACAGAATTAATTGATGAGTTTATATAGAAAGAGGTAGCTTTACCCTAGGAGCTAAATGCCTAAAGGGCTTATTTTTCTTCTCTCTCTCTTTCAGATCTGTAGAAATACAAAGAGTTGTGGGTTTCCAGAACAGCACCTGAAAAACTTAGTTTTGCATCTAAAAATTTGCTTCAAATGATACATCTGGCACGTTCTGTTGTTGCTTAGACATAAGAACCAAACCCTGTGCAGAGAACCCTCTAACCTGGATTCTCCGCTGAATTCGCGGGCGCGTAAAATTGAAACTGTGTCGACACTATTGAACAATCCTGGCTTGAGTCGAACACTTGTTCACAGATACGCCTTGAGGTCCAGATGACCACTGTCACAACACAGCTGATCAGCAGAGGTGGGAGGTTTAGGTCCAGGTTCACTACACCCAATGAGAAATGGCACAACCCTGATGAGACTGGATGGCCACGGCCAGAGTCACATGACACAAGGACATTAAACGAGAATGCCATTTTAAACATATGTTTTAATGTTGTACATGTAACAGGTGAGGTTCGCCCTGTAGGGCTATGCTTTCAGCCTCTGGTGCTAGGATGTAGGTCTCCTGCTGCCTTTTCACAGCTCGCTATGACTTACTAGGCCTACCGCTCACTGATCAAGGAACTCAGGGACCAGGAGTTAACTTTGGAGCTGTCTTGTGATAATGCATGTCACACAGTGATTCCACTGCAGTGTCCAGAGAGCGTCCTTCAATTGCAAGCTCTTCATAAGCCTTCCGTGAGCCAATGTAAGGCTGGCACTCCAGTGGAGCTACCGTATGACGGCTCATGTTGCCTTAGGAGCTATCACAAGGTAACTCAGAAGTTAGCTCACCTCACAGCTATTTCATGGTACTGGCATGTTTCCTTGCTGCTCAGAACACTGGATGTTGGGACCTGCCATCTCCTAGGGCCACATCCACATTGAAGATGAAGGTGTCTGCCTCGAACTTTATACTGTGCTTGTTAGGCTCCAGGGGCTCCTTGCAATTGCCAATGTGGTTGAGGGTTGAGCAAAGTCTGGGTGCCACACATGCCAGTGAGACTCCATGACTGGAAGCTGCCGCACGGCTCTGCCAGGATCCCCTGCCAGACTCTATGGTGCCGTTCTGAGCACTGTACTGCAGGCTGCGTGCTGCCTCTGGGGACGGGGAAGTGCTGCCGTTTTGCCACTACTGTCCAAAATCTTCATCTGTGCACAGAGCACGCGACATACAGGCCAAGCACAGCCTTCCTCACCCTATTCAGCACTGGCCTAAGAACAGGGAGGACAGAAGGAATATTCTCACTGATAACCTTGCCTTGCCTTAACTCTGACCTTGGGTTCTCTTCATCATCAGTGTCTCTTGACCTCTTTTTCAGTGACTCTCATCAAACATCCTCCTGGGGGAGACTGTCTTCCAAGGAGACACAGTCAGAGAACCGTTTCTGTCTTTCATCCTTGGAGCTCCCTGGCCAGAAACTATAAACCTCTGGAAGAGAAATGTACCAGGGCCTGCTTGTTGTATAGTCAGAAATTAATGGGATCAGGAACAAACAAAACTGTGCACCACCAGGTCCGCTAACTCAGCCGTTCTTCCAGCTCCCCCCAGGCTCTCGTCTAAGGAGAATCTCTGGAAATAGCAGCGGCTGTGCTGGGGCGGCTTCTGGGAGCAGTGACCGCACTGTCTTTCTCAAACCACAGGGAGATTCCTGGGCAACTCCTGGAGACATGGCTTCAGTTTGGCCCCTGGCAAAGGGCCCTCATTGTCCTCCTGAAGCAAGGACGAGCTCAAGGACGACATCACCAGCAGCTGCAGGAGAGGCTTTGGCAGCAGCATCTTCACCCCTTATGCAGCACTGCAGGGTCCAAAGGCCGTTTCTGGCAGCAGTAGCAGCAACTGTGGATTTAGGGTCATCTCTGGCAGATGGGACCTCACTATTTTTCAGCAATCAGGAGCATTCAAGGGCCGTCACTGGTGGTGGCAGCAGCAGATTTAGCTGGTCCTGCTTCTCTTGTCCTTCATCACAGCACTGGAGGGATTTAAGGGCAGTGTGTTGTGGAAGCTTCAGGTGGTAATTTCTCTCTTAAAATCAAGCACAGGGACTGGAAAGTGTGCGGAAGTGGGCTGCATTTGTAAATTATTCTCTACGTTAATTTCTGAACTGACAGGAGTTGAATAAAAGAGAGGGAATTAGCACAATGGAAGAGAGCACCTCACATCACTCTAGAATATCCTATTTACAGCTGACTTCCTGGGAAATATTTCCAGTTCTTGGACACCCACCAAGTGCACCAAATTTCAGAGAGGAAAGGCCACAACTTTCATAAAAAGTGAATGAGAAACATTTAACTCTACAAGACCAGCAAAAGACGCTAAACGCCTGGGGAAGGAGCAGCACCCCCTCTGTGACAGTGGGGGGGAGGGTGGGGTGCTGGTGGCTCTCCGGCAGGGCACAGGACTTTGAGGGGCACAGTGAGGGGGCTCTCTGGGAAAAGGGCTGGGATCTGGGAGGATGTCTGTCAAGGAGCATGGGAGGCAGTGGGAGGCCAGCATCTCTTGAAGCATGACGGACAGAAGAGTCTGGTGTCCCAGAATACGTGGGGATGGACAGAGCTGGGGCAGGGGGGAACTGGTGTCTCTGGTGGCAGGTACAGTGGAGAGGCAGGCTGCAGGCATTTAAGGCCCGTGGGCGGCAGAGGGTGAGCTGGTATCTCAGTGCCTTTGTGAGACAGAGGAGGAATGTGACGGGCGAGGGTCCCTCTGGCAGAAAGGGGATGGTGTTTTTCAGGGAATGTGGGGGATGGAGAGAGGCTGTCACTCAGGGAGCAATGGAGGTCGCAGGGTGTTTATCTGGCGTTGGTATATCCGAGGGGCATGTGGAGCTGGGAAAGCTGTTGTCTCTCAGGCTGTGAAAGACTGAGGAAGGCTGGTGTCCCTTGGAATCCGAGGTGGGGGAGCGGAAGGGGGGAGAAGAGGCACTGGTCATGCTCAGAGCCCTCAGCACAGCATACTGAGATATTTAACCTGCTGGATGGGGAGAGGCCGATGTGGCCTTCCCTCTACAGCTCCGCCAGCACAATCCAAGTCTGAGCTAGAAATCCAGGCCTGGGCCCATGGGAGGGAGGTGAGCAGGACAGGCGCACAGGGAGGCTATGGGCAGCCAGAGTCACTTGCAGACCAGGAAGGGTGTGTGGGCAGAACTCAGGGAATGGGGAGGCTGACACTGCTAAGGGCCCTTGAGGGAAGAGGCAGGGCGGTGGGAGGCTTGTGTCCCTGGCAGTCTCTGGGGTTAGAGGGAAACTGCGTGGGCAGGGGCTGGAGGGGGGCTGGTGACCCTTGAGGCCTGTGAGGAATGGGGAGAGGTTGATACCACTGAGGGAGTATGGAGGTCACTGACGTGTGGGTGGGAGCTGGTGTCTCCTGGGCATCGCGGGGAGGAAGGAATCTAATATGGCTGGTACTGAGAAAGAAGCTTCTCTGGGCTTCTTACCCCTATCTTCTGGGGCTGCAATCTTGTCAGAGCTCACAAGTTACAGTCTCTGGCCAGGTCTGTACTTGAATGAGAGACCTGAAGAGGAAAACCTAGGGCAGTGTGGGCAGTGGTATGGATGCCGCAGTGGGGGCGTTCTCCCCTCTGAGTCAGTGACAGTCTCAAAGCCCCAGGGTGGTGACAGGAGGGGCTGTGTTGCAGGGAGGAGCATGGGTGACTGCGTCATGGTGCTAGGGAGATCCGCGTTATTGATGGTGGAATGTTGACAGATGCGATGTAAAACTGAGGCCCTGACCACTCACATGGCATTTTTCCTGCCAACTTTCAGCCAGCCTAAATTCCCTCTGCAGTTTCAATCGGATTCGGGATTAATTTGCATTTCATGTTATAGAGGTAGTGTGTAATGTTCCTGTGGCCTGTTCAAAGGCTGCCCCATCCCACCTCAGAGGTGGCTTGTTTTCACTGATGGATTACACAATTCCTACGTTCTTAGTCTGAGAGCATTTGGGATCCTTTGGGACAAAAGGCACTAGAGAAATGCAAATAATTATTAACTGTTCAGGAGAAAACACTTAAAAGAGGAACCCACAACCAAATACAGCAATTTAACAACAGAATCAAGACATAGAGAGAAGCAACATGAAACAACAGAAAGGCAATTTGAAGAGGAAAGGAGACAGTGAGAAAGGTCCGTGTTTGTGGGCAGGATTAAGGAGACGCCCCAAAACCAAACATGACAATTTCTAGGACGTCTGTCTCAGCTTTTCTCTCCTCTATGCAGCTGAGGAATCCTGACATCTCTGAAATGTTCCTCAAAATGCATCTTGTGATTATGCAGCATATTTATAGGGCACCATTGCTGATGATTTTCCCTATCTTCCTGGAGTGCCTAAACTCTGCACCAATCCCCTCCCCTGACCAGCATAAGTCTTACCGTGCTGCGATCACAGGTGACTTCTTCCCAGGATCTAAAGGGGGCCCGGTAGGTTCCTCCCCCAGTGATCGTGTATCCTTATTCAGCTGTTGTAACCGGGAACTTAGCTCACTGATCACAGTTGGTTTGTCATCCTCAGCCCCGTGGACTGGCCTGCTCTCCATGGGGTCCCCCCATAGCTTGGATCTTCTCTGAAAGAGGTAGCGTGGCCGACCAACACTGGCTGAAGCCAGCGTAGCCGCATGTTGCTGGGAGATGAGCTCACTGTCCGAAGACTGCTTCAAAAGTGGGTCCCTGAAAGTAACTGGCCCCTTGCTGAGCTGGGACTTGAGTTTTGGCTTTGGAGGCACTGGTGGCTTCTCGAGTATAAAAGTTTGTCCATCCGCAAAGGAAGTGTATGTGTCAGTAGGCTCCCCGCTTTCAGAGGACAATGTAGACATACTGGAGACTGTAGAGATGGTGCTTGTGGTCTCCAGGTGATGGTCACTTGAACTTCTGGTGTCCACCTCTTCTACTCCTGAGTCTGCAGCAGACTCTGGGGCTACGGGGGCATCAGAGGGCTTCCCTGAGGGTGTTCCACCAGTGGTAGAAGGTGCTACTGCTGCCGCTGGTATGGATGGCGTGCTAGGCTTAGCCAGTTGGCTGATTGGTGTGCCAGGGGTGGTGACTAGTACCCCATTTGCAAACTCATCTGGTGGAGGCACCAGCCCAATCTTGGCCAGTTCCTCCCTGGTCTCTTCATCACTTGAAGACAGCTGAGCTGGTGGGAGGGTAACTGTGTAGGGCTCCACTTCCTCCTCTGAACTTCCTTGACCAAGTGTCTTGTCAGACGCTGGGCTAACCGGAGACTTTCCCACAGGGCTGGGCTCAGTCTCCGCTTTGGGCAGCTCTGCCGGCTCCACGCTTGCTTCAGGAACATCTGGTTTCTCCTCTTTCATCTCAAGTCCTATCTCCTCTTGGCCATTACTTGTTGCATGGACCATGATGAGGCCGGCTGTCTTCTGCTGTGATGTGTCCATAATACTAATGATCATAGATTTCTTGTCTTCGTGTTTTTTCTCTTCTTTCACAGGTGTTTCTGCTCTTGTCTCAGTCTCTTTTCTCAGTGTTGTTGGAGTCCCCCAGTGGCTTTTCGTAGGGGCCAAAGTCCCAGGAGCTGCTCCTACTGCCCCTTTGGCTCCAGGCGAATATGCAGGTGACACTAGGCCCTCTAGCTCCCCCCTTTCTGGTTCTTTGGTTTGGACGTCCACAAACAGGGGTGCTGCTCGGTCTGAATCTGGGCTGTGGATTGGGGTGGGCGACCTGGATGGGACTTGAGTGGACAGGGCCCGCTCCCTTGCGGCCAGCGCAAGCGCCAGTGGTGAGTTTGGATCTAGGGGCTTTCCTGTTAGGGGGTGGATGAATGTTGAGGATGAGCTGCTAATTAATGGCTTTAAAGCTGAGACAGGTGAAGGCAGCAGCACATCTCGGCTTCCTAACAACCGCTCATCAATAGACCTGGACTGCTGCAGGGATGGCATGTCAATGCTGGGGGGGCTCCCTTCAATGGCCCCAACCGAGAGGAAGACAGTGGATTTCCGCCTCTCATCAAGACGACGCTCTCTGTCCTTCATGACTCCAGCGATGGCAGTGGCAAAGGGGATGCTCGAGGGGTCGACCTGAGCGATGCCAGCGTGGTGCTGATACTCTATGCCACTCATGCGATGGCTCCGGCGTGTGGGAGAGGGCTCCCGCGTAAAGCCTCCTGCGATGGATAACGCTGCTCTTTCCTGAGCGTCCTCTACTTGCAGCTGCTTCACTAACGGGCTCTTCTTCCTCTGGGGCTTGGTGGGAGCAAAGAGGCTAACGTTGAACGGGCCCATGTTGGCGTAAGGGTTATCAATCACTCGCCCTTTCCTTTTCAGCTTCTCCGGGGGCGTGGCGGAAGGGCCAGGCCGGGGGAGCTCTGTGGGCTCTACAGGAAGATGAGAGGAGTCCTGCAGGATTATCATGGATCGGGCTCTCTTTTGCCTTTCAGGATACGGGATAGAAGTCCTTGCCTGGTCATACATCTCAGCTGCACTGATCACCTGGGGGAGGCCATGGAGTTTGGCCTCCAGGCTTGGCTTAAAGCTCGATCTTATGGTATCATAAACCCTTCCCGGAGGTGGAGGTGGGGAGAAGGATGGGGGAGGGCCTGTGTCAAAGTAATATGGAGACGGAGGAGGGGGCGGAGCCGTCTGAGGTGGGGGTGGGATTCCGTGCCCTTCCCTGATGGTGTCTTGCATTGACGTGCTCCGAGGAAATTTCCCATCCATCAAAGAAGCAGCAAGTTTCTCATCTTCACCTAGGAAACCAGAAGAACAGCAAAGTCAGAATCCCAGAACAAAGGGAGATGAGCCCTGCTGAGAATTCAGTCTTTCCCTGGGCTCTGCAAGCTGGATGTCAGGTGCCCTAGGGGAGGATTCTAGTTTTGAAGAGACTCTCCTCATCTTCATGCTACTTGACTAGCCACTAATTCCGCAGCTTGCTCCCTTGTATGACGAGACAGGGTGCAGAGCAGGCAGTGACTGGTTCTCACTATGTCCTTCATCAATTTATTATAAATCCCTCCGTCAGGCCTTTCCACCTCTTCCCTGGCCAGGCTAAATAATCCCAGCGCCAAATCCAGAGATGCTGTAATGAGACACAGACTCCTTGGACATAGTCGCCAATTACCAGTGTGCACGGGGGCTTCACTTAGAGCAGCCAGAAGCAGGTGGGGGCTCATTATACCCAGGGGTAGCCTGCTACAATGTAACATTCACACCCCCCCCCCATTGAGCTGCTTCTCCCCCTCCCCCCTCTGGGAGTGAATTACACACATTGAAACTCAGGGGAATGTGTCCGAGGGATCTAAATTCTGTGCTGGTAAATAGGTACGTAACTACAGACAAATGTCTCTCTCACTACTCTAGTGTTACTAGGGTAACTTACTCCAGGAATACCCAGTGAGACCGGTTTCCGGCTAAGGTACCACTCAATAGAAGGCATCAGAGCCTGGGGTGGCAAAAGGCAGTCTGGGGGAGAACAAACGGATGTAACGCGTACATTGCGGGGGCCGAAAGAAGATGTGGGTTACACCAATTTAGACTCTTCCTGGTTTCCCCTGTGAATCTGGCCCCTCCTACCCCAACCCACCTTACCACCTCAAGTCATCATTTGCCTTCCTGGCTCTTGTCAGCCTCAGCTAGATCTTCCTCAACAGGAGTAACCAATCTCGAGCGAGCACTGAAGATCAGGGTGTGCCACAGCCTGGCATGTCAGTTACTTTCTCTATTATTTTGTATCCTGTTCTTTAATGCACTCACACTTCCAGTCTGCTTTTCTAAGGCAGCTGCGTACTGCGCTGGGCAGGCACTTCGCTGTGCTCCAGTGACCCCAAAGACTAGAGAGCTACTGAATAATACCCCATCTTGCCAGGCACTAACTCTCTGTGCAGACGAGCCCCAGGAGTGTTCACCCCATGCCCACTCGTTTTTGTTTCATTTGTATTTTAAACATCTGTTTCTATTCCTTTTAACCCCCACCCACCTCTATGTCTCATTTCATTTTTCAAACCTCATTAACTCCATGGCCCAGATGGGGAGAGAGGCCCAGCAGGAGTCAGCGATTTGCCCCAGGTCCCTCAGGGAGTTGGCGGAAGAGCTGGGGCTTGAGCCCAGCTCTCCTGAGTGCCTGGCCAAGTGCCTTCACCACAAGGCTACTAAAAGTACCAGGGATGACATGTATCCCCTTCAAACTGCTCAGGAACCTCCTCTGTTGCTTTCATGCTAGAGCGAAAGTGCCCAGGGCTTAGAATGACCCTGAAAAGGGACAGGGAAGGAGGGTGGGAGACAAGACACTTTCTCCATTCTGTCCCCACCCACCATTCCAACACAGCTCCACCGTGCTGCCTTCTAAGCCCTGCAGAACTGCACCCCATCTATTTATCCGACCTCGTTCCTCATCGCATGGCCCTGCACACTCTGTTGATGATGCCAGGTCTGATGCCCCAGGTGTCCACGTCCCCACAGCCTGCTTCATGCCTTTCTGCACTGCCCTCCTTGAGCTAGTTCGCTGTGATGCTCCCCTCACCTCATTCTGATCTTCCACGGCCCATTTCTACTGTGATGCCAAAACACGGGCGCCAACCAAATCGTTTGACTTTATTTCATGTGTTTATATTACCTATTATAGAAAACAAATAAGCCAACAACAAGAACTTCCATGCTGAGCATACACCTTTACTGACAGCTCTGCAATCTTGTCCCTGGGTCTGATCCCTCACCTTCTGCATCCTGAACTACCAGTTAGTAGCATTATGGGCACACGTGCTCCAAATATCCCCAGCTGGTTCCAGGCCTCCATTTCTGATAGGGAATAGAAACTTCCATCTGTCTTTGTGGGATCTTTCCCTGATGCCCAACATGCAAGTTGAGGTGCTTCTGTCAGACAAACCAGCAACTTCTGAAGCTGTTCACAGTCATGTGTAGGAGAAGAGAAGGCAGTGGTCACTGAAGACAGAGAACACTGGTCTGGGCCTGGGGCCAGGTTTCTCCGCTCCCCCTTTTCATCTGACTCAGATGGCTCATGCTCTGGCTCAAAGCAGAGGACACGTTTCTCTGAGAAGCAGTAGTTGTATCCCTTTGCCAGGCTAGGGAAGGGTAGATTAAGATACAGCAGGTCTACACAGTAACTTCTTAGTAGGAAGTCCATTACAAGGAAGGGCATAAGAAAGCTGATGTCAGATGGGCCACTTAGGCAAGGTATAAAAGGCCCAATAGGGTAATGAGCCTTGGTCAAAGTGGACAAGTCCTCAAGAGACCAGAGAAGGCCAAAGGGGGAAGACTATCTCCAGATACCTTAGGAGAATCAGCTCTCAAAAGAAAAACTTAGACCTTGCCTGCATGCCTGAGGTGTGGCTTGACGATACCACAGGCCCCAGGCTGGCCCACCTCCTCCCCAAGATACTCCTTCCATTATAATCCAAAAAGTATGGAACGGGGAAAGGAGAATCCGGAGGAGGAGTAGGCATGGTATTCCAGTCCGACATCAAACCCAGGAAAAGCCCCACCAGGAACAATACTCCTGGAAACGCATCAACTGCTCTGGGACGGCAGAGACAAAACTAACTGTGGTATTCCTAACAGGCAGACCAACCAGCATGGTGGTGGAATCCTCTAGACTTCCGCACCAGGTAGATAATGCCTCTGAATTGCTGGCTGGAGACAGTCACAGACGTGATCTGATTTTTAATCTGGATATGGACACAGGCAATACAAGAACCACTAGCACAGACAGACCCCTAGCTTCTCCTAGGCAAAAACAGAGCTCTGCCCCTTCTCAGTGAGAAGGTGGCCAAGCGGTGATGAGTCACACTCCAGTAGCTTGTAGTAATCCTAAGAGAAAGCAATGCCCTGGGCCCTCAGATAAGAACCCAGAAAGACAGATAATTGAGAGGTCCAGCTATGGAGAATCAGGTAGGACACTAGGATTAATGAAGCACGTCCTTTCCTTCCACCTTCCCCACCAGGTCACCATGGTTCTCAGAACCTGTAACAGAGGAAATGGTAAGACAGCAGAACTAGCCATTGGTGGCAAAACTGCTCGCAGACAAGGAGAAGCAAAGACAGAAGGGCATTCCACAGTCCTACACCAAAGCCACAGAGGAGGCCACAGGATCTTTCTTTTCAGCCAGAGCAGCTGCAGCGCTGTACCCATCTCAGCTATGGCCGACTGTACCGTGCTCTATTGACGTGACTGTTTCCATTCTGTTCCAGAACCCAGCATAGCACTGCAAGGAATATCTTCTACCTACTTGCTTCACAGAGAATATCACTGCCATCTGGGACTGTCTTTCTGGAATCCAGGCTTGGCTAGCACATGCCAAACCCACCACACAACTCCTTCCTTCACAGAATTTAGCCGATGCCACAACCAGAAAGCCTTTGCTGACTTGCCACCAGCCACATTCCCTTCTTAGATGGTGCAAGAGCCAAGAGCGCTTGGGCCCCTCTCTGCCTTAGGGATGTGGCCCCTGGCCCCGCAGTAACCGAGCGCCGTATGTGATGTGCTGCATTTGTCCTCCCAACGCCACCTGAGGCAGGGAAGCATTAGTACCTCCTTTTACAGCTCAGCAACTCAGCGACAGACACACTAGGGCCCAGATTTTAAAGGTATTTAGATCCTGCTTGGCTCAGTGTTGCATGGTCTAAGGCTAGGTCTACACTACCCGCCTGAATCGGCGGGTAGAAATCGATCTCTCGGGGATCGAATTATCGCGTCTCGTCGGGACGCGACAATCGATCCCCGAATTGACGCTCTTACTCCACCAGCGGAGGTGGGAGTAAGCGCCGTCGACGGGGAGCCGCGGAGGTCGATTTTGCCGCCGTCCTCACAGCGGGGTAAGTCGGCTCCGATACGTCGAATTCAGCTATGCGTAGCTGAATTTGCGTATCTTAAATCGACCCCCCCCCGTAGTGAGGACGTAGCCTCAGGCATTAAGTCCCATTTTCAGAAGTGACTTAGGCACATGGGCCCTGGTCCTCAAAGCTATTTAGGAACCTCTCTGCCACTTTAGGTGCCTAAATCCACCATTTAGGCACCACTGAAATTTTCAAACCTGCCACTCAGCTTCCATTTAACTCCGTAGGCACCTAAATCCCCTGGGTGCCTACGTTCCCAACAATCATCTGCCTGAGAGTTGGTGCTGGCCCACAGCTCATGGGCAGCTTGGCGCCCTGGCTCACCCCACTGCCGCTCTCACCAGCAGGGCCTGATCCTGCTGGCGTGTTCCGAGCACCTCTAAGACCTAACCCTTGTCAGACCCCGCAGGGAGAGGGCCGGATGCAGGCCACCAATGCACAAACCTGCATCACAGACAGCTAGGGGCACAGGGCAAGGCAGGCCGAGCTTGAGAGAGGGAGACAGAGCTGGAAGAGGCTGTTTTGGCTGATAGGGCATAGGCTGCCCGAGCAGCTGACCTGGGCTCACGTGCCTGACTCCAGGAGGGAGTTCACAGCTGAGGTGCCCGAGCACAGGCAGGTATCTTCTCTGGTCCATCGGCCAGGAGCATCAGTCAGCTGCTTAGGCACCTAAGCCCACTCTCCTTGGCATTTCACTCCTGGCTAACTTAGGTGGCTCCCCACGCAACCTGCTGACTTCTGAGGATCCCTTTCTTAGGTGCCTGTCTCTCCCCGTAGCCTGGGGGCCTAGCTGCATAGGTGGCAGGCCACCGAATGACCTCTGATGATCTGGGCCTTAGGATCCTCAGTCAAGTCAAGGGGACCTCAACTCCTAGTGCCTAAGGGCCAAACTTGTAAAGAT